GAGAGAGAGAGAGAGAGAGAGAGAGAGAGAGAGAGAGAGAGAGAGAGAGAGAGAGAGAGAGAGAGAGAGAGACGTTCCTACCTCGCCTCATGTACCACAAGTGGAATGTATACAAATGAGCATCATTAAGAGAACAGACAAAACATAAGCTGAAGATCTGTAGAAAAGTGAACAGGAGTATTCGTCTCCCTTTTCTTTGCCTCGTTTTATAACGTGCAAGCATGTGCCATTAAGCACACAGGGATGTGGGCAGCTGGCACTCAACTACAATCAAAGTGGCCAGCCTTGTATGTAAGAGGCATAGTAAAAGGGGAGCAGCAAGAACAAATGAAAGGGGTACCACGAAAAAAGCTGCTGAAGTAAACATACTATCATAGTTGACAGTGTTTAGCTCCATGTTACTTGCCATAGAGATAAAAACTGTTTCGTTGTTGGAATCTTACTTGCTATAGAGATGGAACTGTTTCATTGTTGGAATGTCCTAACTCAGGTGTCCTTTGTTGTCCCTACACTTGTAGAAATCACTAACGTGAGAATTGGCCGGTCTGGGCCGCCCGCGGTCCTATCGGCCCGACGGCCCGGATTTCCATGCAATCTTCAGATTTTAAGACTTTACAAGTGGACCTGCCGCAGCTACGCTGCGGCCGTGGAGGGGGAGCGAAGGCGGAGGCAGGAGTGAGAAATGCTGGGTGGAAAAAAAAAAAAAAAAAGAAGAAGAAGAAGAATATACATCATACATGCGGCGCATTGGCATGCGCTGCAGCGCGCACATGCGCCGCACCGCGCAGCGCGCATGCCATGCGGCGCACAGGCAAATCGAGGGTTCAAAAAAAAAAACAAAAGTTGGGGGGGGGAGGTGGTATGCCCGGTAGGGACTTCGCGCCGCCGGCTACAAGAATTTTTTATTTTTTTTTGAGGCCGCGAATGCCCCCGCAAAAAAAAAAGAGCGGGGAGATCCAAGCAGTTCATTTTCTGAACTGCGCGAACCTGCCCCACGTCGGCCCCCAGCCCGGCAGTCGACCGTGGTGCCCCGACGCCACGCAGTCCTTCACGGCCGCCGTGTCTCGTCGTCGCCGTCTCGTACTCTCTTCTCGTGTTCACTGCAACAGGGAGCAGCTCCCCACTTCGTCGTTCAGCCATATCCCGTGCAGCTGCGAACGGCAGCACGAAGGAGCCAAGGGTCGCAGCACTGGGAGGAAGCGAAGGAAGCAGCGGCCATATCCAGGTGGGTTACCACCAGCCCCTCTCTCTCTCTCTCTCTCTCTCTCTCTCTCTCTCTCTGTGTGTGTGGAAACTGTGCAGCTCCTCCTCCTCCCCGTTTCTCCCTTGCCATCTTTCTTCTCCACCTCCCC